AATGGCAGTTTGGTACCGCGCGTGGTCGAAGGCCAATCCAAACGTGATGTTGTCTCGCAGAGTGGCGTTTTGGATGAATGGCTGCTGGCTCACGTACGCCACAGACCCAAAGCGGTGTACTTGGCCTACTCCATCCATCAATATATCAAAGTTGCCATTGAATTCAGTTGTTACCTTTGGCGCAGCGAGCATCGCCCAAGATCCCAGATAACAGCGTACTCTTGCCAGACCCGACGGCCCCCACCACCGCCACCAAGCTCCCGTCGGTGAGTTTCAGGTTGACATTGTGCAAGATAGGCCCAACTTCGGCGTTTTCCACGGCGTCGGTGTCTTGGGCCGCATCCCATTCAAAGTCGGCATGTTGGAGCAAGATGGCGGTTTCCTTCAACGGTCCCGCGGTCACCGGCTCGCGCTCTTCCATCGTGAAGAACTCTTCCAAGCGCGAGAAACTTACATGCGCTTCCACGAGGGAGTTGATCACGTTGGGCAACATGAACAGCGGGAAGCGCAAGATGTTGAACAGCGCAAGAGACGTCAACGCCGTGCCCACGTCCAGCGAGTTGCCCATGTAAATGTACGCAAAGAACGACGTGACTGTGACCAACGATGGCACACCGTTGAACACCATGCTGGACCCCGCTCGGGCGTAAATGTACGTCCGAAGGCGGTCCAGTTCGTTGCTTCGAAACTCCATCACGCGGTTCGTGAACGAGTTTTCCCACGCCTGGAGCTTGATCACTTTGATGCCACTGAGCACTTCGTACACGACCTTGACGCGCTCGTCCTTGACCGCCATGAGCGCACGTTGCAGCGTTCGCATGTACTGCGAGATGGCGGCGGTCGTGGGAATAATCAGTAGCATGACAATCACACCGGCAAGGAACGCCACCCCCAGTTGCAAGTACAACAAGTAGGACGAGATGATGATCTGGAACAACGCGTACCAGATCGCATGCAGGTAGTTGGTGATGTCCTGCAACCGTTGGGCGTCCACGCTCATGAGGTTGGTGATTTCCCCCGTCGACTTCTTGGCGCGGGCCGACGCCGCCAGGACAAGCGACTTTTGGTACACCGCCGTGACAATCGCCGAACGGAAGCGCAACCCGGTTTCAAAGCACAGAAAAAAGTACTGACGCAACGAAAACGACTGCACAACCCCCGAGACAAAGATCGCCAATGCATATTGCAACCCCGTGCTCAATTCCGCCGTGGGGTCGCTCAGGAACTCAATGATGTACTTGATCACCATCGGTCCGACAAACTGCAGCGAGTCGTGCAAAAGCTTTAGGAACCCGGCTGCTACAAACTGGCCGCCAAACGAGCGCGCCAGTGCCCACCAAAGGCGCGGCTTCGGCTTCGTGAGTTCATGCTCCCAGTTCTTCTTGAACGTCAACGAGATTTGCGTCGCGCGGTCGTCGACATTCAACTGGTACAAGTCGTCGAACTCGAGGGGGCGCTTGTTCCCAAGATCCAAGAGCGGCGTGAGCCACGAGAAGAAAACGTTGCTCATGCACCCGCCCAGTTCAGCAGGACTCTTGTCTCCCAACCCATGATCCGTCGTCGGTTCCTTCCCCAGAAGGGGCAGGCGCTCCTCCTTCTTGTACGCAATGGACGACGCCATCGACACGATCTCTGGGTTGGCGGGCAAAATCCGAAGTGGAACAAATCGTGGTGTGGATTTAACTGGTTAAAACTACTGGAACATTCATCGTGGAGATTCGTCCTTCGAACTTCGTTTGTACTTATGCTGTACACTTTCTCGAACGATTACAGGTACCGTGTAGTACTCTTAGTATGAATTATTGGATTTCACAAAAAATATGCGATTAACTGTAAGGTCGAATCTTTGAATTTTCTCGTTCTGATTGGCTTAAAAGAATGGTATTGACGAGCTCTTTCACTATTAATAGGTGTTCACACTGTCAGTAAACAAACAATCTACGTACATCTATCTATCAATAGTAGAGGTTATCAAGTATACTTAAAGCAAGTGAGCAAATCCAACAATTCTTGGACATTTGTTTTTGCCAAATCCAACAATTCTTCTTGGACAGAGTACTGTAGTAGTGAGTAATGGCCATTATGGGCCCGATTTTGTCATTTTGGACCTAAAAACTTCATTTTGGGGCGAAATGCCATTTCAAAGTTCCGAGTATGCCCCGTCTGGCAACATCCGTATTATGCCATTTTAGGTCGAATTTTGTCATTTTAGACCTAAAACATCATTTCAGGGCACAGTTGGAGAAATTCCTTGGCGCGTCTGGGAAAAGTTGCGAGAAACTTTTTTTTGACCTTCAAGCGCCATTTAAAAAAAAACTATGGAGTATTGTCGATTTGATACAAATTTGAGGAGGGGGTGCAATCGAATCGCGCCGACCAAACCGATCCACAATCGATCTGATTGGTTGAATTTCATTGAGATGGTTTTGATTGGCTAATAATTTTGAGCTCATCTGAAGTAGCCAATCAAATCGATCAAAATTCCAACGAGAAACCACGCCACAACACGAAATTTCACTCGAAAGCACAATATAGTCAAGGGTTCTTTTTTCGAAATGACATTTTGTGTGATTAGTGACGAAACTTTAACAGTTAACGTTAGCGCAACGCATGCCGTTTCCGTCATACCATCCCTATGCTCTCATGAGTCTCGCTGAGCCTCCAACATATCTCATTCCCTGCATAGCTCGATTGGTCGGTGCGCAACACACACGTTACATTCCATGCTCGCGCGACCAATTTCCGCTAAACCAATGTCGACGAACCGATGCTGCAGTTGTCGAAGAAGGTATGATAGTCCTATGAGGAGGTACATAATGTCCTATCATACACCTGCTTCGACGACAGCAGCATCGGTTCGTCCGAGGCAGCAGATTCTATATTTCCATTGCAGAGTCACAGGTATTCAGAACACAGGAGGTTGCATCATTGCATGCTTGGATGCGAGATTTGCAAGCAGAGAATATGTACCAAGTACTAGTATGTATGTTAGGCACATTCACATTAACGTTATTTCCTCTTCGCACTACAATGTCCCCTCCTGCCTTCCTCGACACCTCTTCCCCCCACCCTAATTGGGATTTGGACCATTTTGACATTGTCAAAACAAACTCAACTTTCCATCTCGCAAAATGCCATTTTCTTTCCATAATTTGCCAGACGGGCCCTTGGTGTTCTCTGTTAGCAGGTCTCGCATCCAAGTATGAAACGCGTATGCCTGGTATGCGAGTCTCTCCGTACAGTATCCCCAGCATACATGCACACCGTATGCATAGACATACATCACAAGTACACCAAGTGGAGGCCCGCGCTGTCGCAACGTGCGACTGCACCTCGCCGTAGAATGCCAATTGTTGCAATATAATTTTTTTGTTTTTTCGAAGAAGGGCCATAATTCCTGAGTGAGGCATCGTTTTTGAATCCTGAGAAGTCCTAAATTGTAGACAATTAATGGCGTATGTGCCAATTAACTACGTATAAAACTAAGCCAATCACTGAGCCCCAAATTGGAAAAGCGCTAATCACAGAACAAGCCTCTGAATATGTATACTTGTAGCCATACAACACCGAAGGTAAAACTAATACGTCAACAATTGGCACACCACTTTATAGAGGTATAGCATATATGAAGAGCTGTATACTGCTCAATTGTACGAAATACATTGCACGTTGATAATTGTGGATTGCCCTGAAAATTGTCTACAATTTAGGACTTTTCAGGATCCAAAAATGGTGCCTCAATCAGGAATTATGGCCATTCTCCGAAAAACAAAAAAAGTTGTATTGCAACAATTGGCATTCTACGTTAATTTGTAGACAATTTTATTATCCACATGCGATGAATTCCGCATAATTGAGCTATATACAGCTCATCATATATGAATAATTCATACCTCTATAAAATGGTGTGCCAATTGTTGACGTATTATTTTAACCTTGGGTGTTGTATGGCTACAAGTACTCGTACAAGATTGGTGCTTTTCCAATTTGGGGCTCAGTGATTGGCTTAGTTTTAGGGTTGTCTGGTAACCGGAAATATTGCAATATTCAGGCCCAAAGTGCCATTTAGGGCCGAATTCAACAAATCTGATCAAAATTGAAAGATGTCTTGCTTGCAGAGGTTTAACCCAAATCCAATAATTCCACGTGGGATTTACTCGTTGAAGAGGTCCAAAACGCCACGTTACAAAATGGACCTTTTACCTCCATTTTGAAAATGACATTTTGGTTAATCCCATTTTGCGAGAAAATGGAAAAATATTTTTGAAATGTTACCAGCCGTACCCTTATACGTCATTATGTAATTGGCACTTTACGTTACTGCCCCATGTAGTTGTGGCGGCAGAGAAAAACTGAGTTAGATGTCCATTTTCTGCCCAAATCTTCGAAATTGTAACCAATAATATCATCGCTACAGTACATGTATGTTGGCGATTTTCAATGGATCAAGTTTACAGTTCGAACTACTGTTATGTCCAGCCAATATTCGCATTATTTACCAAACACTTCATATGATCATTTACGATGTCCAATATGGTACCTGACGGCCAAAAGGTGTACCTCCTCTGTCCGGAAGTACACTGTAGTTGCAACATTCAGAATAATTTAATAATGAGTGTCAAGAATATCGAAATATCGAAAACTAAAGGTATGCTTTGATAGAGGAGTTCAAGTGATTACGAATAAACTAATACTGTCCCAGTGAATTAAGAATCTAAGTTTATTATTTTATCCAAGATATCCATGACGTAATGAATTTATCCGGAATGCGGCCTACAGTATATTGACATGTTAATGGAATTCGCAAGGTGAGCACTGTGCTACTTTTTAATATCCAATAAGAGTCCATCACACCTTATTTCTTGCACACGATTTGCTATACACTGGCAGCAGATATACAATTTTTAACTAACTGCTTGGATGCTCGAATTTTGTAGATCTTTCTGTGATGCTGCTCCGGAGAATTGTGCACTGATGAGTTCATCCCGACTATTTCCAATGTGGTTCTCCCCTTACAGCTGACATGGCGTTGTGCGCTCGGTTGGGTCGCAATACCGTGGCGGCTCAGTGGGCTAACGCCGTGGCGCAAGACGTCTTGGTAGCACCCATCGCAAGTGCTAAAGCCGCCATTTCAGCCTTGCGATGGGTGTCACCAAGACGTCTTGCGAACCGCGTGATCACACCGGCAGAGAGGTGTACGGCACCGACACGGACTAGACAGTGGACTGACCACATTCATTGAGTTAGTAGGCAAGTAAGTGATGTGAGAACTGTTAGAGGTGACCGAGTCCTGAATACGACATCACATGATCTTGCTCTCACACGCAGCCTACATAATTATCTTTATGCTCCACTCATCAACCCCCATCACAGGAGTATAATGTATCGCAACAGGGTGTCTGAATGTTTTGGAATTCGTAAGGTGAACTGTGGTGCAAGTCATCTACTCCAGTAAAGACTACAGATTGGCCATCCTCAGGAGGAGACGTTTTACTATTAAACGCCTCGGTTCTTTCAGTTAAACCCACGAAATGTTGACGTTAAATCATTACTTCAAGTATTAGTTACGTTTTTTACCTGGTAATTAGGTTAAACATTGTGAATAATCCGGATACAATGAAAACGTTCGTACGGATAAGTGCTGTATACAAAGACCAAGATATACTTGATACTCCTTTTCGGCCAAAATGTACCTGGCTCCGTACAAAAAGGCCGGATGGTTCAAATTCTATTACTCAATCACTTTTTCACCAATCGAAAATCTGAACCGTAACTTCTGTTGGGCTTGTCCAGTTCTATCATTATTACGGTATATTTTCCTAAATAATATCAATACAAAGTTGGAATAGCTGTCGAAAGTCAAGGCATTTATTTGTAGTCTTTAGGTGACTTGCACCATAACTGCCTTGCGAATTCAAAATTGTCCAATTTGTCCAATCAGATGTCGTGAAATCACGTTGATTCATCACGTATGAAAAATATAAATCAAGAATACAAACTTGAAGACGAATTATTTAATTGAACTGTACAATTTCAGAATTATTTGTGGAATTCAGCTTGCGCTGCTTTTCTGGTTAACAACAATTTTATCCGGAATTGGGGTCCACCCTTATCCGGTTTATCCGTCGTCCGGTATTTTCACATTCCGGAAGTACAGATTTCGCGAGTAATTCACCTGTATCACCTTATATAGTTTTTCAACGATTGCAATTTGGTACAATTTGCTCAATTCACTGTTGTACGCCTGATATAAATGAATCACACATGGGTGCGGGCGGATACAGAGGTAGTACGAGCACTGTAAAAACAGCTGTCGATCAATTTCAGCTGCTCGTATCGATTGGTGAAGCAATCCACATTCCATAGCGAATCATGCACACGAAGGACGAGAGTCGTCCGCTGCTAGACAAAGGAATTGCCAGTCATGGTGGCTTGGGAGACACGAGTCCGTCGGAGATGGGAGGGGCTTTCAGCAGCGTCTTCTTCGCGTGGCTCACACCGCTCATGGATCTTGGCAGCAAGCGCCCCCTCGAGTTCGACGACCTGTACCAGTTGAACGCCAACAACCGCGCGGCCTACATCTCGACAACGTTCAAGAAGAACTGGGCCATTGAACTGACCAAACCCAAGCCACGGCTGTGGCTGGCCCTGGCGCGTTCGTTTGGCGGTCCGTTTATCGCCGCGGGGTTCCTCAAACTTCTCCATGATTCGCTGCAGTTTGTGGGGCCCATGGCGATCAAGTACATCATTGCGTTCCTGAGCGACCCCACGGCCGAGTTGACCACGGGGTTGACTTACGTTCTGGCCATCTTTGCCGCGGGCGTCGTGCAGTCGTTTTCATTGCGGCAGTACTTTTTCCTGTGCTTTGAAACCGGGATGCGCGTTCGATCGAGCATCGTCACGGCCGTGTACGACAAGTCGCTCGTGCTGGCCTCGTCGTCGAAAAAGTCGACGGGCGAAATCACCAACCTTATGAGCGTGGACGCCCAGCGGTTGCAGGAAATCACCAACTACCTCCATGCGATCTGGTTTGCGCTGTTCCAGATGGCTGTGACGTCAACGTTGCTGTACATGCAATTGGGCGTGGCATACTTTGCCGCGTTTGCGATCATGGTGCTGCTCGTACCTGTGACCACGGCCGTGTCCAACCTCATGCAGACACTCCAACAGGCGCTCATGCAAGTCAAGGACGAACGGGTCAACGTCGTGTACGAAGTACTCCGTGGTATCAAAGTGATCAAGCTCCAAGCATGGGAACACTCGTTTACGAACCGCGTCATGCAGTTTCGCAGCAACGAGCTGAGCAAGTTGCGAGCGTATGTTTATGCCCGCGGCGCCGCGACGATGGTGTTCAACGGCGTACCTACCTTGGTCACGGTCGCATCCTTCTTTGGGTACGTGTACTTGGGCAACACGCTGGACGTCGGAACGGCGCTGACGTCCCTCGCGCTCCTTAACATCCTGCGGTACCCGCTGTTCATGCTTCCATATGTAATCAACTCGCTGGCCGAAGCCCAAGTGAGTTTCTCGCGCTTGGAAGAGCTGCTGCTCATGGACGAACGCGAGCCAGTGACCGCGGGACCGTTGAAGGACACCGCCATCTTGCTCCAACATGCTGACTTTGAATGGGATGCGGCGCAAGAAACCACCGACGTTGCTCACGTCGTTGCTGAGGATGGCCCGATTCTACACAATGTCAACCTGAAACTCACCGACGGGAGCTTGGTGGCAGTTGTGGGGGCCGTCGGATCTGGCAAGAGTACGCTGTTATCTGGGATCTTGGGCGATGCTCGCTGCGCCAAAGGTAACAACTGAATTCAATGGCAACTTTGATATATTGATGGATGGAGTAGGCCAAGTACACCGCTTTGGGTCTGTGGCGTACGTGAGCCAGCAGCCATTCATCCAAAACGCCACTCTGCGAGACAACATCACGTTTGGATTGGCCTTCGACCACGCGCGGTACCAAACTGCCATTCGTGTGAGCAGCCTCTTGGAAGATCTCAAGATTTTGCCTGGTGGCGACCTCACTGAAATCGGCGAAAAAGGAGTCAACTTAAGTGGCGGACAGCGCACCCGTGTGGCCATCGCCCGGGCCGTGTACCAAGGTATAAAAATGCCTTCGTTTTCTTCAGAATAGGTGGTGGTTGTGATGATGATGATGTGTAGATGCGGACATTTACTTGTTGGACGACCCGCTGGCGGCGGTGGACGCCCATGTGGGATCGGACATTTTCAAGCAGTGCATCAAGACGGCGTTGAATGGCAAGTTGGTCGTGTTGGTCACAAACGGACTCAACTTCCTCAAGGACTGTGACTCGGTCGTGGTGCTGGAGCAGGGTCGCATCGTCGAACAAGGAGCGTACCAGAGTTTGGTGGACAAGGTCGACGGGGTCTTGGCCAAGATGATGGAAAGCGTTCAAGAAGCCCCCGACAAGGAAAAAGACGACACCGACGTCCCTCGTGACAACGATCAGGAAGAAGACGAGCGAGAACATGATGCGCGCCAACGCACCGAATCCAACCGCAGCGACGTGGACACGGACAAGGTCTCCAACGCCGCTTTGATTTCCGACGAAGACCGCAGCACCGGCGACGTGCCGTGGGGTATGTACAAGGTGTGGATCGATGCTTGTGGGGGCGTTGGGGTGGGCCTTGCCGTCGGCCTGTTGTACTTGGTCACGAGTTGCGTCAACTTGTTGGCGTCGTTGTGGC